TGACATGTTGCACAAAATTTCTACATAGTTATTACAGTAGACATGTCGATCGCGTGAAATGTCGCCTGACTGATAGTGAATTTTTGGGAAAGATATTTCAAAAAATTGCACAATGTTGTAAAAATCTAGTAGAATTATCAATATTTATAAGGATGAAGTAGACCAAGGGTTAATATAGAAGTACTAAATTAGAATTACAAAAGCCTTTATGGATAAAATAGACGGCAAAGTTAATAAATTTCCTTGTATGTTATGTAAATTCTTTTGATAATCTAATGAAGGATTGGAGTGGACACAATAAAATTCTATGATTACGAGGTTGATAATGATTTAGGATTTATGCACAATAAAATATTATTTATTTGTCTATTCCCAATCAATTTTTGGAATCTTCAGCTTTAAGTGTTGTTTGGCTTCATATCTTTATTTGCTTCATGTCTAATACCTCCAACGTGATCATTTATTGTTAATTCTATTTCTATTCAAACATAATTCCGAGTCATTCAAGAATGGGTTGATACTACAAACAAATATTGATCACTTTTGAATACGTATAACTACATTGGTCAAAAAGAAACATTCTGTGATTTATGTGATATAAGATACACCAAGAAATAAACAATATTACGTTGGTATCAACAATGGATACGTAGATTGTTTAATCTTCAACGTCTCTTTGATCATTTTATCTATTTAAAAAAGATATTTGGCGTTTGATTTTGAAAATTAATTCCAAAAAAGAAAATCCGACTTCAATCTATTATGATACAATGGAAATTAGGATGAGAAGAAAAGGTCCCAAGTTTTATCGAAATAGCATTTTACCTTTTTTATTTTTCAAAGAGCCTATAAGAAACTTTTACTATATTCAGGAACTTGATCACGAAAAGCATCATCTAATGATGGGCGAATTGCGGACCAAAGAGTTTATGCCGTAAGAGTAAGGTTTTCAAGTTCTCTAAAAACTTTGATTTTATATATATATATATATATATATATATATATATATACACATGTTATTAGATATCATTCAAATTTCATATATTAAGTTACTCGCAATTTAATTTATCCGTCTTGTTTATCATCATTATTGTAATGATTAATCAATTAGCTGCACTACAAGACTATCCGAAAGGAAAATACATGGCTGCCTTAAATTTTTTAACCAGGTAACAAGAAAGTGCATGCATGAAAAGAATTATTTTATTTATATTTGACACTTGAGCTGATATATTATTTAATTATTTAATTTTCATAAATGATTTTTTAAGGAACTTTACAGCCTACAATCGTATACAATCAGGAGGAAAGAATGATTTTCTTTTCTTTCATTTTGGCACGGTTATTCTCATTTTGGCAATACAATCCATTTATTTTTAATTTTTTATAAAAGAAATGTTATGTGAAATTAAAATAATTATAAAACTTTGGGGTGGATATGAAATTCTGATTGGCTAATTTGAATTTCACGTATGTGAATTGCAAATTCACATTTTCACGCACAATTTATTACTAGCAGGATGTTTTTAATTTTAAAATTTTTTTTGTTTGACATTTGACCTGATATAAAATAACAAAGAGATGATGGTTATATAATGAAAACAAATTTAGCAAGAATTATAAAATAGTTTATAGATTACTGATATAAATAAACGAATCACCAGATGACTCATCAGGAAATTTTAGAGGCGTCAAATATCTATCTTCCTGTTTTTTAAGTGATAATAATCATGCATTGAAAATCAATACTGGGCATTCCCCATTTTTTGATCGCCTTGGCTAAATTAAATTTTTTGAAGTTGATTGAATATCCAAAAACATACATGTATGTAGTACTGGGAAACAAATCTTTTTACTAAAATAAATTCATTTCCCCAAGAAATAATAATAATATAAACTTTGTCCCAAATCACCCTTCTCTTTTATTTTTCATTTTCTCATTCTCTATTTCATTCAATTTCTCATTACTAAAAAACTTTGATAGTAATGGTAAAAATTAAACATAAAAATATTTATGACTGGCTCATAGAAGATTTTCAAGAATTCTACAGTTATAAAAATTGTCAATCGTATTATAGTGAAAAATTTTGTTCAACCGGACCACTTTATTCAGAAGATGGGAATATATTAAAAGATAACCATGAATTTATTTGGCGGCTAAAATTATTACCTAGACATATAGATAGTTATATATCATTGTACATTTGGCCTATTCAAAGTGAACATGAACAAGATTATAAGTTAGAAACAAGAGTTATGAAATTTAAGTTGGAAATTTTTAGAATCAATAATAACAGTAACAGTAATGGCAACAATAATTACTTGTTGGCTCTAGATGAGAAGAATTTAGAAAAGTTGGATTGTTATGGATATTTATCAGAGAAAAAATTTATATTTAATTCAGATAGACCATGTCAAGGCGTACCCGAGTTTTGTAAAATTAGTCAAATATTCCCTGATAAAGATTACAAGAAAAAAACTAATTTATTGATTCGTATCCAATTCACATATCCTTCTTTTAATCAAATCAATGCGAATACTAGTGAGGACGAAGAGTCAAACAAACAACTAGCGATTATTGAAAACCCAATTTGTTTTGATTTGGAAGAATATATTAATAATGAGAAATTTAGTGATGTAACTTTTGAATTTGGATGTGGCAATCAATTGAAAGCAAGCAAAATAATATTATCAATAAGATCAGACTATTTTAAGAAAATGTTTAACGGAGAATGGAGTGAATCCAATTCAAATGTTATCAAGATGGATGAAAATATATCATCTGAATGTTTCAAAGAAATTTTATATTTCTTGTATACCAATAGAATTCAAGATAATTTATCATTTAATGTTTTAAAAGATATTTATTCAGAAGCAGATATGAGAGATTTGGAGGAATTAAAAGATTTGACTGCAAAAAAATTTATTAAAATGATTGATAAAAATAATTGGAGTGAGATTTTGTTGTTGGGATGGAATACTAATAATTCAGATTTAAATAATACTGCATTGAAATATATTAATAAGAATTGGTCTAGTGTTAGGGATAGCGAGCAAATGAAAAGTATATTAAGTTGTGTTGATGTTGATTTGACCGAATCATTATTTTGTGCTAGATTCTTTGGTAAATTTCTTTGAAAAAAAAAATTTCATTCCTTTTTTTTGGTTCGATTATTTACTATTACTTTTTTTTTATTATTAATATTAATATAACTTTAACCAACTTTAGTATAATAGATAGAACTTATAGATAGATGTATAAATATAAAACATTATATATATAGTAATTTATATTATTTATTATTATTATTATTATAAACATTATTGAACATTTAAAAATAGAATTCATATATATATATATAATATAAATATATATTTTATGATCAGTCACGTGTTGCATCAGGGTAATTAATATCAAAAAAGTATTATTATTTACATTTACACTTTCTTTTCCAATGGATGATTTGTACAATAACATTAGTGAATATAAAATCTATATATTGTATAACCATTTACAAACAGTCAGTCAATTATTTTTTTATTTATATAGTAAACAAATAAATGTGTCCCGTAATTTTCTATTATTAATATTAAAAATTAAACGATCTGCGAATTAATATTAATATGGTTTATTTATTATATAAATCATTTGATACTTAATTAGTAACTTGATAATGTTTTATAATTGCATACAATCTGCATAAAAAATATTGAACGAGAGATCAACAATCAAAAACATTAATATTGAGAATTTCGTGGAATCAGATGCTAAAGAGTTTTTACGAAAGAACATTTCTGAACCTCGGAAAAAGTAGATCAATTAACATATCTGACGTCTTTAAATGGGGTATGCTGTAACAAAACCAGACAAAGTGAACATTGGTGTTACCAAGAATTTCAAGGTTCAAAATTTAGTTATCATCATTGTACTTAAAGAGACTTGCTGTGAATGATTGAGCTGGTAATTACCATTGCCGCAAATAACCGATTACAACATGTGTCTTTAATTGTATTACTAATATAACGTGTTCTTTATGTTGATAGTGGAAATTTGGAATGTTACACTAATTTTTATATATTGTGCAACGTAACTTTATAATACACGGCAAACATTCCGGCAATGAAAAGTGATAAACTGGATTTGAATCGTATCGGAACTTGATCTCCAACTTAGAGAGGTAACAACTATAACATTTCGTGCAACAACAAATTTCCATTATGCTTATGTTGATGGACTTTTCATTTATGCAAACCAATTCATTTTTTATTAATTGAATGACCCTTATTAAAATATAATAGAGTGATAACTTCTTTATCTGAAGTAGCACTATTGATATTATTACCACCAAAGATTTATCAAAATTACAACAAGTGATGAAATGAAAAAAATCATTCTAGTTTCATTTGTTTCTTCCCTTCTTAAAAAATAATGTCACCATTTCTTTGTCAATTTGGACTTTAACGCTTTCATCTGTTTTTATTCTTTTCAAAAGAAATGGTACATAAATAATCAAAATTTTTTTGAATATTAATTGTATAAATAAATCTTACTTTTCTGGAAATGTCAGTACAATTTCGAAAAAATCTCCATTAACTGTAACAGTGATGTCATCATCTTCAACATCAATTTTCAATTGACCCTTAATTTCTTTTGCTATCATTTGGTGATATAGGACAACGAAAACGAAGTCACTTTGTAACATAAATAAATAAATAATGAAAATCTGTTGGGGATGTTAAAGAGAAATAGAATAGTGCAACAATACCCGTTATTGATCATTGTGAAAGGAACTTCACTCTAAGAATAAAAAAATTTTGTTGTAATTTTTATTTATTAACAATTAAATGATTAAAAATTAATAACTTGCATTTTTGTCATTGTTACTACTACTATCATCAATAATGCTGCCGCTACTACCTAGATAATTATCATCATCATTAGATAAATGAACATTATAATTGTTGTAAATGTTACCAATGGCATTGTCACCAAATTCGGATACGATGTTATCAACAGCTTTGTCACCACCAGATTCGGATATGTTGTTTCTGATGACATTGGCATCAGGTAAATTATTATAGTTATTGTGAATAATATCATTGTCATTAGATAATCATTATTATCTTCGATATCATTGATATTAGAGAAGCTTTGTTGATCTTCATTATCAACATTGTTAATGTCATTGATATCATCATAATCGTCAAATAAGTTTGTTTTATTCTTAGAAAACTTGAAAATGTAACGTTGATTTTTTGGTCCAATAATGGCATCTCTATTTTCATCATTAACATTTATATAATTAATGAGTATATTTTTTTCGTTGTAATCTCGAAAATGAATATGACCCCATCTAGAATCCGAAAATTTTATGGATAATTTGTTTTCTCCCTTACAGCAGTTGTGTTTTCCTATATCACATGTATTTTCTACATCGAATCTAAATTCGCGTCAATTTAAATTGGCATATGTGAAAGTTGGATTTGGGCTAGGATGAAGACAAATGGCAATAACCTCATTCTTTTTAAATAAATAACACTTACCCATTTCTTCCATTTGGATCAACAAATTCTTGGTTTCTTTTTAATTTTTAAAAAAAAAATTCAAAACGCGTTGGCACTTGGTGTTGTACAAATATTTTTTTTGGGGGACAGACGCGAATTGATTGATTTTTTTTTTCTTTTGGAAAAACAATTTACGTCCAAGATGACAAAACGTGGTTCTAATAATAACAATAAAAATTTATTTTTATAGTCACGTTACACGATTCGAAAGTCCAGTATTCTGGGCCAATAAAATTTGCTCTCTTTTTTTGTTTTTTGAAGAATTTTAAAAGAAAATTTTATTCAAAAACGCTTTCAATAACTAATATACATGTATAGAATAGCACAGAAGTTATTTGAATGCATCTCATGTAGCTTCGCCTTTAAGACAATTATTGATTTTGGAAAAGTCAAATTTTTGATCCCCGGATTTTGTATTAATATATCACGTGATTCCCCCTACCCTTAAAAAACAATGTGTCAGAAAAAGTTCTAAAAATGACAACTGTATTTCCTTTTTATCATGGAATTATCTCAAGTTGATTTATCCAAGATATATGGTGGGTTATAATTGCATTGTTTTTCACCAAGAAAAAATAACAAAATCATGTCTTCTATTCATAGGGGAGAAATTCAAGTCCGTTCAACTAACAAAGCAAGAAATGAAAATAATAATCCATTCACAAGATCCAAGATTGGAAGGAAAGGAGATATGATGGGTGTTCTATCAAGAACATCACAAAAACCACAAAAAGCTGAAATCCTGTTTGGTGAGGTATCTGGTGGACTCATTTCTTTTGGCCTACCCAGTGCTACTACATAGTAAGAAAAGATTCTTAGATAAAATAAAATTATCAGTTATGTTAAAAGACTCAATAAATAGCCTATTAAAAGGGTGGGATTATATTAATGCAGAAGAAAGAAAATCAATAATTTTATATGGTTGGACACTACATGGTATGTTATATCCTGAAACCACCTTATATGTGGCTTTTATCATCAGATAAGCTTATTCCTTTTTCCTATAACAGGTTTGAGCTAAATATCTACACAATGAGCTGGAATGATGATGGCATATATTTGTTTGGATTAGTCAACAAGGAAATCATACCATCATCAGAAGATTGTGCAGGAATGTTTGAGGATCTTTATTGTGTTTTTAAAGAATTAGAGGTATGTAACTACTATTATTCACTATTATAGCATTCAATTACAATTAAATGGTTTTTTTTTATGCAGTATAAATTAAAAAAACAGAAGTAGTTATCAACAACCTAAATTTAAAAAATACTAAAAATAAACATAGACAACTAGCAGAAAAAACTTCTCCAAAATTAAATATCAATAGAACACCAAATTAATAAAATCTGGATAATTTTTTATAACATAAGCTCTATTAATCAAAATATGTTAAAGAAAATAATTAGATAATTAAAACTAATGCATGGTTTATTTTCTGTGCTATGATGTCAAAAAAAGAATTAAAAAAATTATTTCTGATTTTAATAATTGCAGATCCTTACTTTACTACTATTGCTATGTTGAAGGTTAGTCACTTGTTATTGGCGATTGCTAATTAGGCCACAGAAATTAATATTTTTGGTTCAGATTTTAAAATTGATGCAGGATGAGCATAGTGGACACTGTTGCAGATCACAAAAAAATGATCAACATAACATATGTTATGGTGAAAGTTCTTGCAAAAGTTTGATTATAAAAGTGTGAGATAATTTTGATCTTGCTGATGATCTGGACTTAGAGAGGCTACAGCTATATTCTAGTGAAGTTTCAGAAGCAATGGGCTCTGTGTAACCGCCTGACTATTATACAAATGACTGTTGCACAAAATGAGTGTCCATTATGCTTGCGGGATGTGGGTTTTAATAACAAGTTTACAAATAAAAGAATGCAATGCAAGCTCTTGAACATGCAGTACACTTTTTCTCAAGTCAAGGAACATCAAAAGTAATATGCTGCTTTTTTTTAATCATTTAAAGACAAAAAATTCAAAATAAAAAAAATAATTGCATATTTTCCCACAAAAAACATGATGGTATTCTGTTGAATTTCTTCAATTAGATTTGACTCATTGACATTGAATATTTTGTATTGGAAATCCCATATTCACCACCATCTAGTCTAGTTGTGACTATATCAGTTAAAGTGTTAGAGCCACTGACAATTTTAACAAACATAACCATGGTCAATACAGCAGACATTGTTTATACTATGAGAAAATACGAATGAAAGATAAGATTTTGGAAACAAAATCAATGGATTATTTTGTACAAGAATCAATGTGTGTAATGTTCGTTTTTAATATGGATTGTATTATTTTTGCATGAACATTAATTGATATTATTGTATTTCACTTTTTAAGGAAAAAGAAATGTGAAATTTTGAAGATATTGTTTTACCATTTATTTTTAAATATCAATAATTTTAATTCAAGAAAAATAAGAGATAGTAGTGTTGAAAATATGAAATTTGAGCAAAAAATTGATTTTATATATGTTGTTTGTGACTGTTAATTTTTTTTATTTGATATCCTCAGATCAATTAGATGGATCTTTTCAAAAGCACCATTTAAATTGTCAAAAAAATTTTTTTTAAGACTTTTTCAAAGTACAAGGAAGAATCTTTATTTTACAAATTGACATTAATGAATAATTTTCTTAGCAATCAAATTCATCAAAAAAATCACCAAGGCTTTTTTGGAAACATAAAAAACAAAAAAACAATCCACAATTGATCTTTTTATTTCCATTGTAAATAATTTTTTTGAAAATCAATTGTTTTAAATAAAGCCACATATGTTCTATGATTAAATCAGTACTTTATTTATATTATTTTTGATTGGTACTATCTAATATAATAGAGTTGTCAGGTCGCCTTTTCTTATTTTGACTATTGATTATACATGCAGCCCAAATTGTTTTGCTGATGTCAAAAGTTGAAATTAATTGTGACACTCACTATTAAAAAATATGTGTAACATCCTTTTATGACATGTGTAACACCCTTTATGTCAGTGTCATAATAGTTCACCCAAATTTAATTCTATTCCATCCACTTCATTTGTCATCACAGAATTTTAAATAATTAAAAAAACCTACAAAGTGAACATAAAATTATATATAGGGATAAGTGTATATATGAAAAGTAATAATAAATATAATGGTTCTAATGAATATCAAAAAGCAATTGACCTTTTAGAAAAAAGTTGTAAATGTGGTTGCTTTTCAAGAATTCCCAAAGAGCAATTTGCAGAATTAAGGGAATCCTTTCAAGCTCTTTCTAAATCAGAACAAGACATATTTCTAATGGCCCAACTTAAAGCAATGGATAGAGGGACAGTAAGCACCAGCAGATGCCTCAAAAGAAAACTAGATCTAATAAAAGAACTTTTTACCATTGGAATCACAATATATTACTTTGTCAAGAAACTTATCTCAATATGTTGGGAATTGGTAGGACTTATTTTAAAAATATCAGAAATCATTTGATAAACAATGGTGTTCTGCCAAGAATTCATAGTAATATTAAAAGAATGCCTCAATGGAAAACCAAAATGGTAATTGATAAAAATGTTGCTGAAGTAGTAAAGAATTTTCTGGAAAATTATGCAGAAGTTCATGGATTACCAAGTCCAGGAAGAAGTAACAATAGAATAACTCAATCAATTGTATTCTTACCAGCTGAAATGAGTTATAAATCAGTCCACAGGGATTTTCTAGCTGGTCTGGAAGAAGATAGTAATTTGAAATCATTGAAGTATGATGCTTTCAGAAAATTATGGCATCAATTGACACCAGAGATTCAAATTATGAGTCCCAGGACTTATTTGTGTGATGCTTGTCAACATTTTAGAGATGGTTTACATTATAATACTCACCAAGAGGAAGAAGCTAAAAATTTGCTCAAAAGATTTAAAGAACATCTATCCAAGGCTAAACTAGAAAGAAATTATTATCATAAAAACACTAAATTAGCAGAAGAACAAAGAAAATTAATTAATCAAAATTATTCAAAGGGTAAAATACCATATTGCAGTATTGATGCCACTGCTCATTATAGTTATGATTGAGCCCAAAATGTTCATGTACCTCATTCTGATCAACAAGTAAGTAAAATCTATTACCTTAGTCCATGTAAGTTCATTTATTTGGTATTTAAGATAAAGCAGTAAGTGAACAAATTAATTATGTTCTTAATGAAAATAAAATCATAGGAAAAGGTCCTAATGGCACTCTTAGTATTGTGAGATTGTAAACCGTGGACCAACCAATTGACCGTTAATATTGACCAATTATAACGAACTTACTACGGAAGTCATGTGATGCGCTGAATATTACATCACGATTAACAATCATCTTTCTATATTTATTGCAACGGTTGCACGTCATGTTACACATGTAGATCAT